CCCACACCCACACCCACCCACACCCACACCCTAATCGTCACTTCACGACAATTGATGACGCTGACTACTGTGGTCGATAGCATAATGACGACAATAAGATTTGTGAGCATTATTATGCTGCTAAATTTGAAAAAAAATGAAACGAAAATTATGATTTCTGATAATCACGCAGTAGTATGAGTATCTCCTGATGATTTCTCAGTCTCTGTTAATGATTCTCCATGAAACAGTAACAACATTGCAGATTGATAAAAATACCTTTTTGTGGGTCTCAGTTAATTAATTTCTACTTTTTCTCAGACTGGGCAAAATGTTTCAAACTTTTAGCTAACTACTTGTGATGAGTTTTTCCACATTCCTTTCTTACCTGTTATATTCGCTAATTTAATAATAACTGATTCTTAACTGAAAAATGCAATGTTTTCAACTTTTGTACGTTCGAAGATGAAAGTGAAAATGAAACCATTTTTGTTGTTACTTCTTACCACCTTTTGTTTTTCTTTCTCAAGTTATCATTCTGCTGTTAGCTCCTTAAACACAAGTAACACAAGCAAATTATTAGATGATATCTTACCTTAGAGAGGAAAACTGATAAGAGCGAGTTAGACTGCTCTTCGTACATGTTTCTGATCACCAATGTTTTTTTATACGAACTCAAGTATCGGTAATCTTATCTGGACGGTGTGAGGTATTGCTGGATGTGGTTGTGGATAGACCTCTATTCTATTGATAAATTGATAGTTTTTTAGCATTTTTATTACATATGTCTTTACTTTTTTCTTATTGATAATGGTTTCAGGTGTGGGTATCGTGTAGTTGTTTTTTTCGTGTATCATTTACACCCTATCCTTATGTAAAGATTCATATTGCTTCTATCTTCTATTTATATGATAAACAAAGCAAAGTCTCATAGTTTTGTTTTCGTATGGGTCGTCACAAGTTTACATCAATTGATTTACGAAGAAACTACCTGAATTGTCAGCCACTATTCGAGCTCATATTGGAAGCCACAAGCAGGCTTCATTGAAGCCAGTAAATACCTAAAATGGTTCATCATCATGGACTATTGGCGCTGAGTTATGACCGTTTTACTGAATTTTCGAGCTATTTTCTAGTATTTACCGAAAAATCAAAAAACGAGATTGTTACCTAAAAATTTGCCTCTAGATAGTCCTAATGACCCTTAGAATATTTCTTTGTCGGGATATTGAATTTCTCTAAAAATAGTTGCTTGGTTTACTTGAAAATTCAATATTTAGACAAAGGCATATTCTTTCGATTGAAACGTTTCGAATATTTTAAGGATTGTTAGACATATCTATAGGCACCATTTTGAATCGAAGTTTTGTCCGTTCATTTTTTGATGAATATCCAAAAAATGATTGACTATTCAGTGAAACAGTTGTAACTCTGTGCCAAACGCCCGTGAGGACGAATACTTTTAGACTTCTGCTAGCCTCATCGATACCTCTTTCCGGGTCCTAATATAAGGTCAAACGGTGGGTAGTATTTCATGTTAATGTTCAGATAAAAAACCCAGAGCCACAACACTTTTGCCTTCCGTACGAGCTTGAGATCTTGCGAAACGGACTACAATTCTCGGATATTCTTCAGCATAAATCTACGAAGTTTATCAAAACGTGACCAAATAAGATTTTGTTTAGAATGCTAATCGATGAAATTTTATCAATTGTGTGATAACATCATTCGAATTGAGAAAAAAAGGCAGATTTTAGATGATTGGAATCGATGTGAATAATTTGTAATTACCAAATAGGGAGAGAAATGATCGGTATACCAAATAGAAAACTGAAAACAGAACCACTCTACAAATTACAAAGTAAAACTTATTGTAATTGTTTTCAAAGAAAGCAAAATTTCGTGGGTTAGATAGAATTTTTTTTTGAAAAAAAGTATACAATAAAAATAATCTTCACTTTGTAAATTGTAAAGCTTTTCACGCTGCATCTTTTTGTATATTTTGTTTTTTAATACAATGTGTTAAGGAATTGAAAATTGAGATGCAAGTTGTAGTCATTTAATCTGCCTCACCCGTTATTTACATCAAATACGAATCCAAGACATACATTTCTGTCTAACTACGCCTATGGTATAGTCCAAAATATCATGACACGCATTCAAGGTGGAAGTGCCTCTTTGTTTCGATATTTTCAGCATGACCATTTTACATAAGTTGGCGTTCAGACATCAATGAGAGATGTTATCTTTGTAATTCCTTGTACAACTACATTCAGACTGAATATGTTGATTATTTGGTTATTTTATCTGATTTTCTAGAAAAAGTTTATTCGAACATGTGTGTTCCGACTCAGTTCTTACACGTTCGACGTGTTGATCATCATAGAAAAATGATCGATTGGATAGACTGATTTTGATAACAGCTTTACCATCGAAGCTGTTCTCTTGGCATAGGTTCAATATGATTGTTCCAATGGTTTCGACTATAACAAAATAGAACAAGTCGTAGAAAATTTCGACGATAAGATGACACCGAAATAATATATGTATAAAAATTCGACGCATAACTAATGTATAAAATAATATTAGTTATATCAAGAATCAATGCTTCTTGCGCTAAACGATAAGGTGTTTTGGCTATTGACGATGTGATAATTTGATAGACATTAAATGTTGCAAAAGGTATTATTGGAATGAGAACAATCACGTTTTGTAAGAATACCATTGAAGTTAAACTTCGCTGAAATGTGCCACGTAGTTGAATACCAGTAATGGAAATGATATTACGATATGTAAGCCAACCGCTCATACATAATATCATACCAGGTAATATACTAAGAAGAATAGGTCGAACGAAATAACTTATATAAAGAGTCCAACCTGGATTAATGGAAGAACATCTTGTAGTAATATTACCTGTGGCTGACTTTACTTCAAGAATTGTATAGAAAAATAGAAATGGTACATTACTAGCAATAATTATTGGAATAACTATAATAATAGCCATTTTTATTGTGCTCAGCTTACTTAGATTACGCCATGATACACTTCGACATGAAGCAAAAAATCTGTCGATAGAAGCAAAACAAATGCATGTTAAAGATGTAATGGTACTGGTATAAGAAATAAACAGACGACTTTTACACCAGAATAGATTAGTCAATGATGCGTCAATACCAAATCCTATGGCTAAAGCTCTTGGAAGAAGACCTACTGATAGTGCGATGAGATTGAAAAATGATGAAATAAATAATACAAATGAACATGAATTTGTACGTGTAGAAAATAAGAGACGAAGATTAATCATATTTCCGATTATACCAAAAATAAATATCGGTAAACCAGCATAGATACTAAACTGAATGCTGATGATACTAAATGATGTCGATGACATTATAATGATTTCAAGAAACTAGTATGCATGCTAAAATGTTAATATATCAAAAGATACGAATAAATGCAACAAAATATCTCTTGTATGATATTTTTATATATTCAATCAAATTTCAAGTATCGAAAACTAGACAAAATACATATAGCAGTCATTTTCGAGAAACTGAGATGTCTTTAAAGTAAAAGCTCCTGATAGTTTATGACTCAATTATATCAATATACTAAATCATTTATCAACAATGAAGATCTTTCTTGTAAATATAGTTCTAAGTCATGATATGTAAGGTAATATTCACCATTGATATTAGATTACAAATATGACACTATCTACGTCAAGAATATTTTTATTATGCGTTTCTTGAGTAGAAAATATGTTAGCTTATTACTTACATGTAAAATCATTGGTAGATTCACTAATCTTTTCTTCGTTGGTAAAAAGATAAAAATAAATTCTTCTATTTATATAATCGATTAATATATTCATCATAGTTCATATGTTTTGTGCGCAACAAAACTTACAGCTGCAAACAAACTCGATCCTCTTCTTTGCAATAAGAACATGAGAAAGCCGGTACGATTATTACACTCGTTGCTTCTGACAGATCATTGTTTGTATTTAGCTTGACTATGTGTTGTCATTTTTCTTTTAGTGATGTAAATAACAAAAAACTAAAAAAATATCTATATGCCATAAAAGAAGTACAAAAGAAACTCAATGACGTAGTGCACCAACTCGTCTGTCATTGTTGAACAATAATCTTGTGTTCTGACTCGTTTTTTTTTCTAAAACAGAGTTACTGACTGATCGTGAGAGATCAAATCATTTCAATTTCTTTTACTATAGAATTTCACAAAGTCTTTCAAAAGATGACTTTCATCTATTTCTACATTCTTTAAAGAAAAAGGAGGCAGTTAAAAAACTACAATGTTCATAATAAATGTCTCGAACTCTCCTATATACAGATGTGTGACATTCTAACTTTGTGCATGAAAATTAAAAAAACGCACATGTTAATAGTATTAATCGACTATTTAACTAAAAGAATTCATTTTTATCTTTTTGCCAAAGAAGAAAAAATTAGTGAACCTCCGAATGGTTTTACATGTAGGTAATAACTCAAGAAACACATAATAAATGTTCTTGATGTAGATGGTGTCGCATTTGTAATCTAATATCAATGGTGAATATTACCTTACATATCTTATCCATTATTATGATTTAGAATTATATCAACAGAAAGTCTTCATTGTTAATAAATGAGTTAGTGTGTTGATATAATTGAGTTAGAACTATCAGAAGCTTTTACTTTAAAGACATCCAAGTTTCTCGAAAATGATTCCTGTATGATTGATGTTGATAAAAAGAATAATTGATTCTTTTCAATCGAGATCGTTTTATTCTGTTGTCTCGAATGAATTCAATTTGTTTCTCTTGTGATAAATCCACTTCAATCTTTGAGATTCATTTGAGAATTGTCGAAACTTCGAAATTGTGTCTGGAGAGTAACATAATGATTGAAGCCACATAATTTGTCAGCCTAGTGTATTGGAAGATGTTTTGATGAATGCGGTAGAAATGATTTAGTTGAATATGCTAGTTCTTTTCTTTCTTGATATTGAACACTTGATACTCCAAGATGATTTCGTTGTTCTTAAGACAGACAACAGATTTACTATTGAATTTCTAACGAGCAAAATTTTACTAGATAATCATCCGAATAATTTTAAAAGAATAGTCATCGTTAAAGAATATTGAACTATTAGGAACAAATATCATTCTCATTAATTCTTTGAAGAAAATCAATAGACAAATTGATCTTTCCCACTAGAGTTTTCTTCTAAGGTAGGATAGACCCATCCGAGGATTTTACGATCGATAGAAGATGACAAAGTATCTCCTCCTCCGAAAAAAAAGTAAAAATTGCCGTTGGACGGCGTCGATAGAAATAGGTAGTGCTGTGACTATTTAAAAGGACTAACTGCTTACAAAGAGAGTTTTATGTATGAAAAGTCTAGAAAACTGAATTTCATATTCACCAAAAAAAAAATAATAAACTGCAGAACAACATCCCAGTCGTGTCGTCAGCATAACCATTCTCCTAGACAAAAATATTAAACAGTCTTGCTAAGTTTGACGTGAAAATAATTTCTTTTTGAAATAATTGCAAGGTAAACTCAAACATTTTTGAAATATACAAAACTCTTGCATTTCATAGAATCTGTTGAAAGTTTGATCTGAATTTATAAAGTCTTGCGAATACCACTCTTGTCTACCTCAGATCATTCTTAACGATATCTATTTTTCTAAAGTACTAAAAGAAAAAAGAACAATGAATAACTTTCTTTTTTTATCAAATAACTAATACAGATGGTATCTGGATACACTTAGCATTGGTACAGTTAACACATTCGAATGTTCTTCGGTGCATTCAATTATTGGACGATATGAACTACTATTATCATTTAGATAGTGGTTGCAAATTAGAGTACTGCACGGGTGCATTTTTTTCCACCCGAAACCGAACCGACACTTTTTTTCTGTACCCGAGTCCGAACCGACCCAACAACTCCGTACCCGGATCCGAACCGGACCCGAATAACTCCACCCGGTACCCAACCGGCAGCTGTTTATAAATATAACGCACCCGGCTACCATTTTCACGTACAATCAATTTTAAACTTTATTTCATATGAAAAAAATATACAATCTACTTTGATAAATAAACGACAAAAATACTCAT